GCGCCTTGGGGGTGGCTCGGGGCCAGGGAGACCCCTGGTGCGGGGGCGCTGAGGCTGCCCCACTGATACCCCCACAGATGGTGTCGGGCACCAACGTGTACGGCATCCTGCGGGCCCCGCGCGCCGCCAGCACCGAGTCTCTGGTGCTCACCGTGCCCTGTGGCCCCGACTCTACCAACAGCCAGGCGGTGGGGCTGCTGTTGGCACTGGCTGCCCACTTCCGGGGTGAGTCTTGGGCTTCTCCTGGCCAGGCAGGGCTCGGCCACTGCCTCGGGGGCTGCTGACCCTGCGTCCGCCCCGCAGGGCAGATCTACTGGGCCAAAGACATCATCTTCCTGGTGACGGAACACGACCTTCTGGGCACCGAGGCTTGGCTGGAAGCCTACCACGACGTCAACGTCACTGGTGGGTGCGCTCGCTGCCCTGCCCCTCGCTCCGTTCTGGCCCTGCCCACACCAGCCCCCAGGGCAGCTCACTCACCTGCTCCCACAGGCATGCAGTCCTCCCCGCTGCAGGGCCGCGCCGGGGCCATCCAGGCAGCCGTGGCACTGGAGCTGAGCAGCGATGTGGTCACCAGCCTGGACGTGGCCGTGGAGGGGCTCAATGGGCAGCTGCCCAACCTTGACCTGCTCAACCTCTTCCAGACCTTCTGCCAGAAAGGGGGGCTGCTGTGCACACTGCAGGGCAAGGTAGGGCCACCTGCCTGGGGAGGCGGGGCAGTGGCGGGGAGGGGTGGTGTCTGACCTCCTCTCCAAACCCTCAAAGCTGCAGCCCCAGGACTGGACATCAGATGGGCCACTGCAGGGTCTGCAGACGCTGCTGCTCATGGTTCTGCAACAGGCCTCCGGCCGCCCCCACGGGCCCCACGGCCTCTTCCTGCGCTACCGTGTGGAGGCCCTGACCCTCCGTGGCATCAACAGTTTCCGCCAGTATAAGTACGACCTGGTGGCCGTGGGCAAGTGAGTGTCTCCGGTTCTCCCGTTCCCTGCTCGGGGGTGGGAGTGGCTGGGCCCTGGCCGGCCTTGACCTTGTCTCCCACCTGCAGGGCTCTGGAGGGCATGTTCCGGAAGCTCAACCACCTGCTGGAGCGTCTGCACCAGTCCTTCTTCTTCTACCTGCTCCCCGCCCTCTCCCGCTTTGTCTCCATCGGCCTCTACATGCCTGCGGCTGGCTTCTTGCTCCTGGTCCTTGGTCTCAAGATATCCTCTGCACCCTAGTCCACTTGTGACCGGCCTCCCGCAGGTCCCTCCACTCTGGGCTTAGGGCAGTGATGGCGAACCTATGACACACGTGTCAGAGGTGACACGCAAACTCATTTTTTTGGTTGATTTTTCTTTGTTAAATGGCATTTAAATATATAAAATAAATATCAAAAATATAAATATTTTATTATGGTTGCAAAATATCAAAAAATTTCTATATGTGACACGGCACCAGAGTTAAGTTAGGGTTTTTCAAAATGCTGACACCCCGAGCTCAAAGGTTCGCCGTCACTGGCCTGGGGAGGGCCCCTCTTCCTCAGGGTGAGGGAGGCAGGGTGAGCCCTGGGTTCCCTGCCGGGCGGATCCATCACACCTCTCATCAGAGTCCTTGACTAGCCACGCCCTGGAACTGTGGATGCAGCTGCATGAGCCTGGAGGGGGCCCTAAGGAGGCCGGGGCAGCCTCTGGACCCAGTCCGCCCCTCCCCCCAACACAGGTGATGGTCCCTCCCCTCTTGCTCTCAGTTGGGCTTCTAGGGTCCCGGGAGGTGGTCACTGCTGCCGCTCAGTCTCAGTGGGATGGTGGTGAGGACCCTTGGGCCCACCTGGCCCCAGGGCCCATTTCCAACCGCCTGTGTGCCCTGCAGGGCGTGGGGCTGGCTTCCCTTTTGGCACCCCTGCTAATCTCACAGGCCATGGGCCTGGCCCTCTACGTCCTGCCAGTGCTGGGCCAGCACGTGGCCGCCCAGCACTTCCCTGTGGCTGAGGCTGAAGCTGTGGTGCTGACGCTGCTGGCCATCTATGCCGCCGGCCTGGCCCTTCCCCACAACACCCACCGGTGAGGAGCTGGGCTGGGTGGGCACAGGCAAGGGGCGCCCTGACCATGCAGGTAGCTGCCTCTGAGCCCCTTCCCTTTCAGTGTGGCGAGCACACAGGCCCCAGACAAGGGCTGGATGGCACTGAAGCTGGTAGCCCTGATCTACCTGGCACTCCAGCTGGCCTGCATCGCCCTCACCAACTTCTCCCTGGGCTTCCTGCTGGCTGCCACCATGGTGCCCGCTGCTGCACTCACTGAGCCCAGGGGGCCCCGGTATGTACTGGTCAGCCTCCTCCAGCCCTGTCCCCTTCCCCCCCACCTCTTCCAGGGCCTGGGCCCCTCATCACGGACTATGCCCTCACTCAGTACCCCTTTACACCAACTTCCTGCCTGTGCCCCCAACTCAGAGCCCTGACCCTGCTCCTCCACCCAGGCCACTCTATGCTGCCCTGCTGGTGCTGACAAGTCCAGCAGCCGCACTCCTGGGCAGCCTGTTCCTGTGGCGGGAGCTGCAAGAGGCCCCGCTGTCGCTGGCTGAGGGCTGGCAGCTCTTCCTGGCGGCGCTGGCCCAGGGCGTGCTGGAGCACCACGTCTACGGCGCCCTGCTCTTCCCGCTGCTGGCGCTGGGCCTCTACCCCTGCTGGCTGCTCTTCTGGAATGTTCTCTTCTGGAAGTGATGTCTGCTTGCCCCGTGGCACGGAGACTGTGGCAGGAACTCCCCAAACACCCCCATGGTCTCCTTCCTAGGAAATAAACAGGTGTCTTGTTTGAGCTGCCCTTGTGCTCCTGACCCACCACCTGCTGTCTGTGTGGGCTCCAGGGCCTGTGGGGGAGCAGCTCTGCCTGCGGGGCTTGGCAATCCTGCACAGCTCCTTCCTGGAGGGCACCGCCTCAGTCCACATACTGGGCGGCATCTTGGCTCACTCCGGAGGTCTGCATCCCAGTCCAGTGCTGTGGGAGGCATAGGGCTGGATAAGAGAAAACAGTGGGCAGCAGGGGGTGTCTAACAGGAGCTGAGGCGTCCAGAGACCTCACAACGCCACCGTAGTCAGTGCTGGGGCTGAGTGGGCAGAGGTGTGGGAGCTGGAGCCCTGCAGGGGAGGCTGGGTGTGGGGCCTGGGGGTCCAGCCAAGGCCAGGACCTTGCTGTGAGCGGGCTTAGGACGGAGCAGAGAGGAGCACCTGGCCCAGCTTTCTCAGCGGAACCAGACCAGGCACCCACGATGGACGGGCACAGGAGCCCACCAAGAAACAGTCGACGGGTGCAGCCCCCAGGGGAGGGCGCTGGTGGGTCGGCACGGAGAGAAGTGATGATTGTTCTGAGAGGACCTGAGATCCAGTGTCCGTTCTGGGGGGAAGAAAAGCGAAGCGTGGCCCTTGGTGATGCCCTGGCCCGTCCATCATAGGTGGACATTTCAGGCTGGAAATGCCTCTTCTTGTGGGAGGGCCCAGGTGCCCCCACCAGCACCGCACAGGGCTGAGAGGAGTCCAGTCCTCACAGGCCTCCCTGTTGGAGGGAGGCAGAGCTGCGCTGCCTGGAGGAGCAACTCCTGACCAATGTCCCTTCAGTACAGCTTGCGGCTGGGGAGTCCCCAGGAGGAAGCCCCAGCCCCCAACCCCTGCCCAGGCCTGTGCCTGTCGTGGGGCTTGCATTCCTGTCTTCCCGTGGACCCCTTCGCTCCCTGGCTCCACAGTGGGGGCTCAGCTGGCGCACTCCCAGGGCCAGCATCCAGGGGGTTTTCTCTGGGACCTGTCTGCAGAGAGGTCCATGCTAGTCCCTGTTGAGGGGCATGTGCACCCTCCAGCATGTGGGGATGGGCGTGGGGGCAAGGGTGCTGGAGACCCACAGTGACTAGCAGCCTGTCTGCCTGCTGGGCCCCAAGGTCTACCTGGAACCTCTAGTCACTTTTTTTAAAAAATATTATGTTTTTGTTTTTTTTTATTTCAGAGAGGAAGAGAGAGGGAGAGATAGAAACATCAATGATGAGAGAGAATCATTGACCGGCTGCCTCCTGCACGGCCCCCACTGGGGATCCAGCCCGCAACCCAGGCCTGTGCCCTTGGCCGGAATCAACCGGGGTCCCTTCAGTCTGCAGGCCGGCGTGCTACTCACTGAGCCAAACCGGCCAGGGCCCTCTAGTCACTTTTTAAAAAATACATTTTAATTTTTTTTTATGTTCACCGTCACTTGATTTTTTAAAAAATATATTTTATTGATTTTTTTACAGAGAGGAAGGGAGCGGAGTAGAGACTTAAAAACATCAATGAGAGAGAAACATCCATCAGCTGCCTCCTGCACACTCCCTACTGGGGATGTGCCCTCAACCAAGGTAGATGCCCTTGACCGGAATCGAACCTGGGACCCTTGAGTCCGCAGGTCGACGCTCTATCCACTGAGCCAAACCGGTCAGGGCTGATTTTTTTTTTAGAAGAGTCCAGTGGTAAGGATGTGGGTCAGTTGTAGGAAGGACGAATATAGAACCTAAACACTTGACTGAAGCCGTGCTGTGTA